CTCGCATCGTTTTATACATGTCAAACACGTGCATTTAAACATGAACATTTTTAAAATAATAATAGTCATATTATATAGAACTATCCGTTCTCAAGTACCCGCGAAATAGCAGATTCGACAGCAGGAAAAATTGAAATGGAAAACTTTGGAGCTTGAAAAAATACCCGAACTGTATGAGTATGGTAAACTAATATCGACATTTAGCTATAGGTCAAATTTTAGACAGAAAAAAACACTATTCTCGAAAGATATCCGTTTTGTAATATAAAAATGACGAATCGCAAGCATGTATATGTTGTAGTTAACAATGCATATATAGAGTTCGTTATGAGCAATACACACATAAATCACCAGGTTTTGTCAGTGGAAGTTATTGATACAATCCGTTAAAGTATAAAACATGCTATGCGTATTTCATGTCATTATGCTGGTGCAGGTGGATTAAGTATAAGAGATATTCGTGTTTATTGTCATTTTAAGCGGGTAGGACTCATTAGACATGTATATACATGTGCGTTCTAAACAACGCTCGTCAAAAGAACTCGCTTTTTTCCTGTATATTTAAACTCGCAACAACAAGTAATTCGTTTTTTTTAGTGCGGTGTCTCTTAGGATATTTCTGAATTATATAATAAGATATTTAGTGCTGCATGCAGCCAGGTGTTTGATGTTATGATAAATGTTGCACTAATCAAGTGATGCCCGAACGCGATATTTCCACATGATGCCAATATTTTGGTCTCGTGAATAAATTGTTTGAAAATGCTGAGCACAAGTGCTTTCCTAAACAGATTAGGATATTTAAACAAACTATAAACAAATTTCTTTGTATTTCGGATTATATATACCTGCTTCGTTTTATGCTAATGCATTGACTAAAGAATCTGACACTGGCCTTCACTTTTTTTTTATTTCCCATTCTTTATCTGTACATGCAACACCATGCAGTTTATTGCTGACTAAAAGAACACTGCAATTAGAATCGTGCTTCCTTTAAAAAAAGAAAACATTCATCTGTACCAGGGTCGTAAATCGAATGAATAATTAGTGTTTTTGACACCTTTCATGCACATTAAAATGTGACACCTTTCAATATAAAGTGAAAAAATTATATAGATATATAAATTATTTTTTGAAAAAAAATTGGTTAAATTATAAAAAAATATATACTGGGTTTTGGCCACCTACATGTAATATACATTACCTCATAAGGCCGGAAATTTTCGTGCTCTTGATTGCTGTGATGTATCGAATTGTATAATCAATTACTCTTTTGTACATAAGTACCCTTACTTGTACATAAACAGCCTAACTTATCCACTCGTTCACATCAACAGAAGAAAAACACATTTAAATACGGCCTTTATAGATTTACATTAAATTCGTGCACGGATCAAATTTAAATCAGTGCATGTGTAACATTAATTATTGTAAATATTGAAGTCCGCTTTTTAAAGCGCTAGGCTTCATGTTCTGTTTGTTAATCTTCGCCAAGCTATTGAATTTCGATGTTTCCTTAAATATTTTTTTTGAAGATCATTAATGTGCAATAAATTGAGGTATAAACTCCACGAATTCCAGTGGTGCGGTAATATAAAATTACCTTAAATTTTAAATCGTCCGATGTGATGAGTCAAAGTGTCCGACACTTTAGACATAAGTCATATAAAATCTTTATATACTTTGAAGCTTTATATAGTAACGAGTAGTGAAAACCTTGCACTAGTTGATCTGCAATGAATGAATCAATATAACAGCTCACATTTTGCAATAATTTACCTTTATTCTTACTTGCCACTGCATACATGCATACTCTGTCTACTTATAGCATCATTTCAAGGCATCCACAGAGTAAATGCATGAACAAAGTATATTATTCACCTAACTGATTGATCAGCCGTCAGCGGCGACCTTTTAATTCGGCAAAATAATTAAGCTCAAAGTATCGACAACGTTATGGACAGAAGCAAAAATGAGGCGTGAAAATCAGGATAAATTTGTTGTTCAGTTATTGATACAAAGTACGCTACAAAACCAGTGTATGTCATCTGCATATCCTGAAGCTGAAGTAGCCGTGAATTACTTCATATGAATATAATTATAGGTAATATAGCATAACATGGCACACGGACCTCAATCTTAGGAAACAGAGATTCTTGAGCCTTTAAATTCTATCATGATTTCGGGTTAAAATTAAAATCGTTGAACTTAACAGTTTTGTATTCAATTCAAATCTCAAAATATCGACATGTAATCATTATATATTCTTATATAATTTTTTATATAATACTTTATAATTCTTACTAATGTTAAACAGTTTAAAGTAAAAAGCTCCTATTGTAATTTGTTTTGTTATAATTTTACGGTAACCTTATTTTTACGAAGATACATTTAATTCGTAGCCCAATTGATCATTTAAACATTAAGATGAAATACAAAAGCACAAAGCATTTCTTTTTTCCAACTAAAACACGTAACGATTTGAATAATAAAAGATTGATGCATGTACTTGTTCTATACACGAAGACTAAAAGCCAGTAAAAGGGGAAATGGGCGTATCGCTATTGAATATGATTTATGTCTTCACCACAGGCTAAATCGGAAGCAGCGTAACCTGTATTTCTTTTAATTGATCCATCCTCCATGTGTTAATAATTTGATATGCTGCCGGCTGCGGTTGTGTGAAGCACCCTGGTATTCAACGTTCCCCGCAACAAAGGCCTCGCGGTAAGCACGTTCCTTGCCAAGCTTGGGACAAGATGATCCATTCAGAACGCGTTGAGGTGATCCATTCATGCAGTACGCGTTCCATTCAGTACGCGTTGGGCAAGTAAAATGGATGATTTTGAAACTGATTTTCACAATTACATTGCCGGTCAAGGCTCGCAAAGACAGTTGAAAGAATTATGAAATAGGATCACGTTTTGCCCTCGGCTTTGTATAGGATCATGTTTTGCCCTGATTATGCAAAATTATCAATGTTAACAGCATTAATGAACAAATAAGTGAAATGGTTTCAAACGAATATTAGCTTTTAATTCTGAGTATCTAACATGCACTGTATAGGTTTGTTAGACTTTAAATGTATATTATAGAGTTCTATATAGCTATATAGTTTATCTTGAGAAATTACATCAAAGTTTCTTAAATATATCGTTACATATAACCAAAAGTGATGCGTAGAACGGACGTCCATACCAATATTATAGTAATATATAACAAGAGCATGCCCCTTGTATTGGCGCCAAGAAGGTAGTTTTGTAAGTTCTCTTACAGCATTCTAGATTATTAAGGAAGGTTTGTCTCGAAGTTTTATTCCAGGTAATATTCAGAATTTTTTGAATATAAACTAAAATCTCAACTTAAAAAATTAACCATTTTGTTCCTAATGATACTCTAAAATCCCCACTAAACTGAGTAGCTTGAACGTATTATTCATTTATTTTATTTAAAAGATTCGCCTACAAAACAAAGCAGATTGAATGCGTTAGTAAGGGCCATGCAATTATGGCGAGAAGTTAAGAAAAACATGATCAAAAAATTTAGGACATGCCTTTCCTTGTCTGGAACAGAATATCTTCAAATTGTTCACCACCATGCAGAAATTTCAACTCGCATGCATCATTTTTTTTTTAGTAGAGTTCTTCGCTACATCCCAACCAAAGATTCAATTGCAAACCAAGTCCTGTTTTGCCAATTGAACAATGCACCATATACTCGTCAATAATAAATGGATAGATAACAATATTCTGAAACTGGGGGATAAAACCGTTTTCGGTTACTAGAGGGTGATGACCGTTTTCAACCAACCTCACATGGGGAATCAAATCATCACGAAAAATGTCTGTCCTTTCAGTGAACGCTAGCCCATTGTCACCTCTTAAGAGAGAATGCGTTTGTGTCTGACCAAATGAAACGGGGTGCGAAATTTGTGATATTCTTTGATTTACTTAAAATCCAAAGGAGACTTCAAAAGTCCATCATGTTAATAATCTTTCAAAAATATAAACCAACGGATACAGAAAATTAATCTTTTTCAAAAAAGACTTTTTCAGCCGAGTTTATTACCGGGGGCTAATAGTTTGGTGAATGATCGCATCCTATGGAGAACTGTCGCTGTCAGACTCGTTAAAAAGGACTGGTACGATAGAAATTTCTTTTCAAAGAAAGAATCGCACAGAAATTGTCGTCTTGAATGCAGAATAGGGGGACGTTGCAGGCCGTCAGAGCTTTCTGATAGGATGGCGGGGATAGATAGGGTAGCGGCGGGTAGATAATATAGCGGTGGGTAGATAGGATAGCGGTGGATAGATAGTTTTCAAGACACGACACTAAAACCTCTCTATTACTCCCTAATGCTCGAAATTTGGTTTCCATATTTGGTTAACAGAATTGGTCTTATGCACGAAATATAAGTCCGTTTACACTACACTCAATTTATTGGCACGGCACACAGCTAAAATGGGTATCCATTCCCATTTCATCCGTGCTCTACCTTGTTATCTGAGCACTAATAAACCATTTTATCCGTGCTGTGCCAATATATGAATTGAGCGTAGTTTAAACAAAGATATAGTCGCTGGTTCAGAGAAGCTTAATAGTTTGCTGGCTGAGGGAACCTTAACACTTTTCTGGTTGAGACAACCTTAATCCTTCGCTGGTATCACTATGCTGCATGATTAGGGAACCTGAACATTTTGCTGGTTGAAAGAATCTTAAACTATCGCTGGTTGAGATAATCTTAACCCTTTGCTGGGTGAGAGAAACTCAACGTACACTTTTCTTGTTGAGGGAACCTTATCACTTCACTGGTTGAGACAAGCTTAATCGTCGTTGGTTGAGGAAAACTGGGTGGAGGGAACCTTAATCCTCCGCTGGTTAAGAGAACTATACATCACTTCGCTGCATAGTGTAGGCAACCTTAGTATTGTTCTGCTTGGAAGAATCTTAACTGTTTACCTTCGATTACGCTATCCGGCCCAAAGCAAGAGAAAAATACTTTATTCAGTTTAACAATTGTTTGATGAATTAAAAATACAACAAAGAGAAATTAATCAATTAAAAATGGTATCAGAATTTTCAATCAGCAAAGCATTAGATCTTGCATCTATTACCAGCAACTTCATATCTGCACGTGTTTCAAAAACCTTAACAGAAAGAATGATTTTTTATTTCACTGAACCTATTTTTAGGTAATATGGACTATCAGCTTGGGAATAAGTAATTTGGATAAAGCGTGCTTATAAAATATATTAGACTATGCACTTATAGCTTTAGTTATGGTTATGGTTATGGTATGGTTATTGTTATGGTTATGGTTATGGTTGTGGTTATGGTTATGGTTATGGTTATGGTTATGGTTATGTTTATGGTTATGGCTATGGTTATTGTTATGGTTATGGTTGTGGTTATGGTTATGGTTATGGTTGTGGTTGTGGTTATGGTTATGGTTATGGTTATGGTTATGGTTATTGTTATGGTTATGGTTGTGGTTATGGTTATTGTTATGGTTATGGTTATGGTTATGGCTATGGCTATGGTTATGGTTATGGTTATGGCTATGGTTATGGCTATGGTTATGGTTATAGCTATGGCTATGGTTATGGTTATGGCTATGGCTATGGTTATGGTTATGGTTATGGCTATGGTTATGGCTATGGTTATGGTTATAGCTATGGCTATGGTTATGGTTATGGTTATGGTTATGGCTATGGTTATGGTTATAGTTATGGTTATGGTTATGGCTATGGCTATGGTTATGGTTATAGTTATGGTTATGGTTATAGTTATGGTTATAGTTATGGTTATGGTTATGGTTATGGCTATGGTTATGGCTATGGTTATGGCTATGGTTATGGTTATGGTTATGGCTATGGTTATGGTTATGGTTATGGCTATGGTTGTGGTCGTGGTTGTTGTTATAGTTATGGTTATGGTTATGGTTATGGTTATATGGCTATGGTTATGGTTATGGTTATGGTTACGGTTTAACCCTTGAACTACTCCACCAATCGGTTTTTTTGGCGTACTTACGTTTGTAACAAAGGAACTGGATTTCGTAGTCTTTACAGCGTTGAGTGTTGCTGTTTACACACGCGAATCCCTTCGATGTACACTGGTTGCAGGAAGAAATTTTTTGCTTTGCTCTATACCAGGGTATATTGCTCCCCTTTACTCGGCAGTTTGCTCCAACTGGTTTATAACCAGCACGGCAAGGAGGCTATACAATGAATATTTCATTTAATTAGTCAGTTCAAGACCTTTGTTTATTCTACTCTTAAAATTTTATATTTTCCACTAGTTTTACTTAAAATAGACGGAATACAACCGCCCTGTCACCCCCAATAAGTTGCTTTGTTTGTATAAAGAGTATATAAAATGGCGGTTATTTTAAAACATTTTTGTCTCCATGACCAATAATGAACTCAGGGGCTGACTAGAACGATAATTGAGGGAGTGAATATTCATATATTAACTTCTTCCCGATGGATTTCTATTGTAAGCTATCGCAATTACAAAAATTCACCCCCCCCCCAATTATCGTTCTAGTTACGCCACTGAATGAACTGGGTTATTAGCGATCGGCTCTGGGGTACGCATGCGCAAAATGGAATAAAGAAAATACAAACACCCATCTGTGTTAACGTATAGATTAAACTTAGATTATAAATTATTTTGCTCTTTCACCACGCTGTTTAAAACTGTTTTGAGCTTATGGACTATAGAATACTTTGTAAGGGGGGGGGGGTTGTATTCGAACATTCTGACTGACGATGGTATATAGTCTTATCAGGTGTATAAAGGTGTACAAAAAGTTTAGCGTGCAACTTACTCTGCGATCATTGACAACAAAATTAGCATACAATTCGAAGTCTCCTGATCCCGATGGGTTATCTCGGTCCAGCCAGGGTGTCCAATAATGAACGACACGTACGGCTAGTCATATGAAGGCCAAGATTAAACATAGGTAAAATTGTTATAGTTAAAGTTATAGTTATAGCCATAGTTAAGTAAATTATCTTGTAAGTACACCATATGTAATACTGCAAAACTTAATACTTCGAGCAAATCAATCATGACGAACGTGATATTTAAGTGACGTGTAAATGTGTGTTCTCAAGTAATTGCACTGATGAAGGCCCGGGTTAATCGACCAAAAGTTTTCGAGTATTAAATATTTACATACTTATTTACGTCACCATGCAAACTTTTAAGAATATTAGTTATAGTTAGTTATAGTTATAACTAACCCCTCAAACTACTCCACCAATCGCTTTTTTTGGCGTACTTACGTCTGTAACAAAGGAACCTGATTTCGTAGTCTTTACAGCTTTGACTGTTGACCTTGTTTACACACGCGAATCCCTTCGGTGTACATTGGTTGCAAGGAGAAATGTTTTGGTTTGCTCTATACCAGGGTATATTGCTCCCCTTTACTCGGCAGTTTGCTCCAACTGGTTTAAAACCTGCACGGCAACGAGCCTATACAATTATATAAGCCAGTAAGAATATTTCAATTAATTAGTTTCTAGAAAATCAAAAGTATATTTATTCTTCAGTGAGCTTTCTCTCTGGAAAATAATCTTGTATTATTTTCCAGAGAGAAAGCTCACTGAAGAAATTATTTGCACTAGTTTTATTGAAAATGTACCGTACTGTACTGTACTAATATAAATACCTTAATATAAAGATTGATCGAGTATAGAGAATATACGTACAAAGAATACCTGCAGTGCAGTGTTGTTCAGCTTTGATCTGCATAGGTACAGTAGTACCTCTGCAGATCAAAGCTGAACAACACTGCACTGCAGGTATTCTCTGTATACGTATATTCTCTATACTCGATGAACCTTTATATTAACTATAATTACCTTTGATATGTTTTTTATAACTTTGCAGTATTTGATATGTTTTATATCACTTTATTCAGTTTGCCGAAGTTTTAAACTGAGACAACTAGTTTAGGTTTGAAGGAAACTTACCACAACCTGTCACAATTCTAGGAAACTTAGGGTGACTTAGGGTTATTTAAGGCGAGTAAGGTGAAATTAAGGTGACGTTTGCACAGGAGTATGCTTTATTACGTTCATATTATATGATTATTTGTCATATTGCCCATAATAAAAAAAAACGATAGTGGCCTGTTTTTGCGTTAGAATTATTTGTAAAAGGGGTTTTATGCATTCGAACATTCAAAGCAATGTTATATTATTAAGTTTTATCTGAAGATTGATATTGAACGCAGCATCTAAAGGAATTAATTATTACTGATTAAAATTTAAACTTGACCAAATGCACGGTCTGTACAAAACTTACCCTTCCTGGAAGATGGGTATACAATTCATAGTCTCCTGATCCAGATGGGTTATCTCGGTCTAGCCAGGGTGTCCAATAAGCGAAGGAATGTGCTGTAAAATAGAGCTGAACGTTATATAAAACTGAAGATTAGAGATTCAGGGGCGGTTGCAGTATCGTCAATGCCATGAAAACCTGCTCAGGGGCCGGTTGTATCAAGCCCATTTAGCTTAAACGCCGGTGGATAAGTTTAAGTTAGAAAGCAAGTCTGTCGTTTATTCAAGAAGCAAACTAAATGTTTTTTACCTTAATACAAAGATACTGTTTACAACTACATATTCAGTGCATAATATTCAAGTTGACTCATTCAAGAGAGATGTAAGAGTGTTATTTAGTTTTGACTTATCCACCGTTTATGCTAAACGGGCTTGATACAACCGACCCCTGAAGGCCAATAATAATTAGGACGAGATATATCAAAGTATATTCGTTGATTTTTTGGAGTGATGTTTGTCTTTTTTTTTTTTATTTATTAATACTGTAAAGTACACATTTATTTTCATTCTATTCTTTATGGTGGATGATAACACGATACAAATTAAAAATGATGCAAGTCCAACCTGAAAGTGCAAAAGTGAGAAGAAATATAATTCCGAAGATCAACTTCATTTCCAACGTTCACAACTGTAAACAAGCGCCTCTAAATAATGAAATAAGACAAAATGTAGGTTATGTCCTCTCGCTTCCAGATAAAAGCACCCCAATTCATTCAAATTTTGCAATGTTTTTGTTTCGTTTTATTTTTGTTGGGTTTGTTGAATTCGAATCGTGTATTTCTGAGTTAACTAGGATTTAACTATGCAAAACATAGTTAAAGAGTTTTATACAACCGGTCCCTTGTTAATATTGCCCTTGTTAATATTTCGCTGTTTAAAGATGAGGTCGCGTTTTGCGCGTCGAGCGTGATACGTCGCATACGATTGAAGAAGAATACGATCAAGCACTGAACCATTTACAGAGCATGAACCATTTACATTCGTAAATACTTTACACATATTACACGCTAATACTGCATGTATAAGCCAAGACTGGCGCACGCGCCAGGATAATATTTTATAGCTAAGAAGGACAAATTGGGGCGGCAAAAATATAGTTGAGCCATATAAAAGTAGTTCATGTAACTTTGACTCGGCAGAAGTTTTTACCTCATCTGTCAAACATATAAATATGAATATACGTTAATATAAGATAACATATAATATAAATATAAGTTATTTGTACAATATAAAACCTTACCCTTTTATAACTTCAGATTTTGTCAAATATGCTTTCTACCAATCACGCCAGCACAAAATGAGCAACTGTCTTGGTCAGGCCTCGCTATATAATATCTATATAGCTTACACTTGTGCGTGACGCAATTTCCTGTCGTGACTTCTATATCGATGCAGTATATTTCCAGGTATTGTTTTCACTCACTTGCTTCAGTTGCTTGTTTAGTCAAGAATTTTTCTGAACTATTATAATTATATCCATTGTGGTATTTAACACAAATATAGCAAATTCAATGTTATCAAGAGAAAAAAAGGGAACTTTGTGCTAGAGCCTAACTTCGCTATTTTAATAATTATGTAAAGTAAAAAGCAAATTCCGAATAAACAAAACATCTTGAGAATCAAAATATAATTCAAAGAAGACACAGATTGAGACTGTAAATTTTCGACTTTATTACAAAGTCATCTTCAGACAGAATGAAATACAATACTTTACAACGCATAATATACAACACAGAGAAAGAGCGCACCCGGCGTGTCAATCCAGCATGTAGGCGGAAGGCCGCTAAACCAAGCAGAGCGAAACATAATAAGGTTGTGAATAAAACTAAATATGTATGCTATATTTACAACAATATGTTAGATAGATTAATTTAAGGAAGCATACATATTTAGTTTTATTCACAACCTTATCATGTTTCGCTCTGCTTGGTTTACCGGCCTTCCGCCCACATGCTGGATTGACACGTGCGCTCTCTCTGTGTCGTATATTATGCGTTGTAAAATATTGTATTTCATTCTGTCTGAAGATGACTTTGTAATAAAGTCGAAAATTTACAGTCTCAATCTGTGTCTTGTTTGAATTATATTTTGATTCTCCATATGTCTTGTTTATTTGGAATTTGCTTTTTACTTTACTTTTTTAAATTGTCGGCTGGTCATGGTTCTTAATAATTATGAGTAACAACCATTTGATTTTGCAATAGAAATCATTATCGACTTTAGGCTCCAGCTTTAACCGGGGGTAATGTGTTTAGTTTTAACTGCAGTTATATATTTCCCAAGAGCAGATATTTTTCAAACTTGTAGCTATATATGTTCGTTCTGTTAAACTCGTAAGCACTGATCAGACTAAAACTTGACGAGGAATGATCAATTATGCATGCATACAGCTGTAGCTTATTTCCTACATCAGATCTATACCTTGTATCACTTTCAAGGTTCCAGTGAACTATGTATAGCGAACTATGTTTATATAGTTGAAACAAACGCATGCATAATTATTTTATCAAAACTTCAAACAAGTTATCAAAAAATGTCGAACTGATTGTTTGAGAGACAGCTTCTTATGATGTAACCTCATTGTGGCTGGTTGTATCAAGCCTGTTTAGCTTAAACGGTGGATAAGTCAAAATTAACACTGTTACATCTCTCTTGAATGAGTCAACTTGAATATTATGCACTGAATAATTATGTAGTTGTAAACAGTATCTTTGTATTATGCATGGTTAAAAACATTTAGTTTGCTTGTTGAATAAAACGATAGACTTGGTTTCTATTTTTAGCTTATCCACCGTTTAAGCTAAACGGGCTTCATACAACTGGCCCCTGGTTAACAAACCAAATAATGTTCTCTCCTCTTAACTGTCTCTACCGTTGGAGATATGTGTTATTTGATAACTGATGTAGAAATGAACTGATTAACGCTGTAGCCGACAGGGGGGAGACTTATGCAAGGAATAGATCTAATGAATTTCCTGATGAAGGTTTTTACTTAAAAACGTCGAGAAGTGTTTTAGTCTATTTTAGGCAGTTGTTATACCACATTTGATGCGGAATTATTTGAAGATGCTGCCAACCTGCTTCTTGCATTGTTATTTGGAATGTATCAACATTAGAATGACAGGTATTCATTCAATTTTAAGATAAACAGTTTATCCAGACATCGAAAGTATTTAGCAACATTTAGCCGAATTATACGGAATTTGGAGAATTTTGTTGTCCATGATAGTATGTCTATATTTATTACCTTTGCCACCCACGTTACCTAATTTTACGTTGCATTTTATGATGAGTTGCATCAATAATTGCGGTATGTTCGAGGTTCATTTTAACGTAGAGAATGGTTGAGTGGCCAGCCTAGCGATTTAGTCCGTGTTCTTCGACTGAGTCGACTCCAGCACAAACAATAAATTTCCAAAAATAATAAATATAAATGAATAAATTAATAAATAAATATAAAAACTTGCGCAGCGGGACTCAATCGTCACACTGTCTGTGCCATTCTGGTTGCAATTGACAAAATTAATGAATAATACCACAATTACAATTATTGAGACTTCAAATGAACTATACAATTATAGCCTGATATGAATAATGTCGAGCTGAAGGAAGATGAATTTGAATCACCTCATTTACATTGATTGACATTTCTAGCAATAATATTCAATAGTATACGCACTAATATTCAGTGATTCAAAGAAAATAATTGCAATCTCAACCGACTTGTCACAATTCCCTATGGGCTTTGAAGGCCCAGCTAACTTAAAACGCTGTTTAGAAACATCAATTACTAAAAACTACTAGTAAAATTTTAGGGTATCTACTGAAATATCGAGGACTCGAGTCAGGGCTCGAGTCAATGACTTGACCGACAAGTTCCGAATCAATGACGTCATGTCAAAATGGCAAATGGAATTTTCTTGTTTTTTCGAATATCGAGATATGTTCGGTCCATCATTCCTTGGTTTGGTGCACCTGCAACTGAACAACAGCGAGAAAAATAAGAGAAAGCTGGGCACATGGAATGTTCGAACAATGCCGCAAGGTTTCTCAGAAAAGGTTTCTCGCAGCTACCAGACCGCTGACTGCGATACAGACCACTCGTTTGTGTGAGCCAGACGGATCTGTCGCACAACGAAAGATGGCAAACCCGCATCAGCGCCAGCAACACACGGAACGAAGCCAAAGTAGAAGAGTTTGCCGCAGCCCTGGAGAAGTGCGGTCCGCCAGGCCCGCAGAGCTACAACATCCTAAGCCGGGATGCCGTGTACAACTCAGCAATGTCACTGAAGTCAGTACGCTGAGGACATCATCAAACGTGCTGTTGAAGCTAAGAATGCTGTGATGTCTGCCCTACTAAGCCAGCTTCAGCGAACAGAACCTACTGACCCTAAAGGAAGCCAGCAGCAAAGTCAAGCAGACCGCCAGGAGATGTGCTTATGACTACTTGGTTCAGCTCCAAGATTCAGTTTGCAGTCGACGGGAAAGGGACCGCAAAATATATGAGAGACGCCAAAATCGAGGTGACAGGTGTGACTGCAACAACTACCGCGGCATTTCCCTTCTGAGCATCGTTGGAAAGCTGTTTGCAAGAGCTGCCCTGAATAGACTCCAGGTCCTCGCAAAGAGAGTCTACCCTGAATCCCAGTGCGGTTTCCACGCCAGCAGGTTAACCATCGACACTTCTTCTCCCTCAGACAGCTACAGGAGAAATGCAGAGAGCAGAGACAGCTTCTTCAGAGAACGGAGACTCTTCGTAGCCTTCATAGACCTCACAAAAGCATTCCACATCAGGGACGGTCTCTTCAAGATCCTGCCAATGATAGAGTGCCCATGCACGCGGACTGCTGAGCATCATCAGGTCCTTTCATCACGATATGACTGGCACTGTAGTCTTTGACGGTTCAACCTCGGAGAGCTTCAAGATAAAGAGCGGAGTAAAGCAGGGTTGCGTACTCGCACCAACACTCTTCGGAATCTCGGTTCGAGTCCTGACTCGATTCATGGTAAATTTACAGTTTAAAGAACCTGAGCTGTTATGAAGTTTAGTTTATAATCGTCAATATGTTCCTCCTTCGCATGAAATGGCATTCTTGAACCTCTCGTACAGTTTAATGTATTCAACGTTATAATAAATGGCTAAAACTTCGACTTAAAAAGCAGGAAAGCTAGTACAATTTTAAAATAGTTGTCTCGCGGGTAGGGTGTTCCTGGTAACCAAAATCATCGAAATAACAAGGGCAAATTGTAGATATTTAATGATTTTCTCAAATTTTCCGGAATTCAAGAATGCGCAATATAATTTAAACAAATATTCAAATTATTTACGGCAATCTGCATATTCCATATACGTAACTTCTAGACTTCTAGACGTTTCGGCCTACGTGAAACGACTTGTGACATTTCCTTCGCTTTTTGAAGGCCCAGAAAACTAAATTCCATTTAGTATAATAATAAGATAATAGTAAATAATTTCGTAAGTTTGTGTATTTATCCTGCCTGACTTTTCACTATCACGTACGTGGTCAAGCCGAAGTCTATGGCATTAAAAGCTAGTGTGCTTAGCAGAAGGACACCGTTTAAACTGCCAAGTGACACGAATGACATTTGGCTACGCAGAACGTTCTAGTGTGACTCATGTTTTGATATTAAATGAAGATTTTTTAATTGCAGGAGATTGAAATTGTAATATATTGTTGTCAAATGTGTAAATGTGTGGGAGGTAGGGTAGGGGGTGGGGGTTGGGTGGGGATAGGGGGGGGTATGGTGTTTCTGGTACCCAAGATCATGTAAACAGTGCCTTCAGAAAAAACAACTACGGCAAATTGTAAAAATTTAATGATTTTTCTCAAATTTTTCATAATTCAAGAATGCGCTATATAATTCATACAGAGTGTATCAAAAAAAAGGTGATGCCAGCTTTGGTGCGCTATTGTACATGAACTACTCATTCTATTAACACAATGTTTTCAGATTCAGAAAGATCAGGCTTTTAACTTTCGAATGACATGTTTTTAATGCCAAATGGTGAAAAAATGAGAAAATAGTGTTAGTCAAAATCGCATATTTTCACCTCTGAGAGTTGGGATTAAAACCATTGAAATTAACTCCCTTTGGGACTGAATTTGAGAATTTTGCTTCTGAGTAAACTACCCCCATATGCATATTAAGCAGGAAAAAATCAAATCAGGAGAACATTCCAAGCAATGCGGCGGCGACGTCAACTTTGTATCATCGATAGAGATGGTGGTCAAGTTCAAGGCATCGGCGCATAATCTCTTTTTAAAAAGTGTAAAATGTAAATAATTGCAATAAACATGCTGTAAAACCAGTGCAAGCTGTGACATGTTCGTGATTAATTGTTTTTTCTTTTGTTATGCACTGCTTTAATTAGGCTCAAAGGTGAAAATATGCGATTGCGACTAACATTTTTTATCAGCCTCGTATGTGCTCATTTTTCCACCATTTGGTACTAAAAGCATGTCATCCGATAGTTAAAAGCCTGATCTTTTCGAATGTGAAAAAATTCGTTCATAGACTGAGTAGTTCACGTACAATAGCGTGTTGAAGTTGGATTACCTTTTTTTTTATACACCCTGTAGTGCAGCAAGAAAGTACTTGAACAAATACGCAAATTATATTTACTGCAATCTGCATATTCCATGTCAGTAATTTCTGGCCTTGAAGAGAAAAACATCTCGACGTTTCGACCTACGTACGTGCTAATTCACGGCGGCTCGTGGCCACTTTCTTCGTTCTTATCAAATGACGTGATAGTGTGTATCTGTAATTGAACAGACAACGGTTAAATGTTATATATTTCTTGAATAGTATTTCGAATTTTTATCCATTACTAATGCAATCTTGATTGTGATTGGCTAAAAACCTACAGATAATTCCCAATGTCTTGCCACCTACACGACATTGAAAATTATCCGTAGGGACGTAATTTTTTGCCGCTAGTTTGTTGTCAATGGCGCAGGCTTCCTCTCTAAAAAGGAAATACATAATAATACAATTATTGAATTCGGTTTTCGCATGATATCGAGAATTATCAAGCCTCAGTTTGCGTTATCCGCCTCAGCTTCGCTTCGGCGAATAACGCAAACTTCCGCTTGATAATTCTCGATATCACACTCAACCTAATCCAATAATTAAACGTATATATCTTGAAAGTAAAAGTATTAATAGGGTTGGAAAATCATTTTTATATTATCGGTACACCTTCTGGCAAATGGAAAGGTAACATTATTAATATTTTATTACAATATTTATTAATTGAAACTGATGATTGTTCATCTTGGAGCAACTAAACTCCTTTACTGCCTGCGCGTTAATAATTATTTGGCATTTGAAATCGGCTTTTTGTTCCTCTTGGCCTTGCACGCTGTTTACAAATACTTCAATTTTGGAATTCCTGGGGACAGCATTTCAAAGCTTTTAGTGCAACACTTAGTATCCCAGAATATCCGCTTTGTTTGCAACACAGTGGTACGGTTTGATCCCTCGAATTTGAGAAGGTTGTGATCGTATTTTAGTGGCACATACTGGTTTAAGTGCGTGAACCAACGACTAATAGCGAACTTAGCACTTCAGGCGTATTTTCAGTTTCGTTTTCATGTAAAACAATAACTCGTTCTTCGATTGTGAGCTGCACCATTATCAATTTGCTGGCATGACACTAGCAGTTTAATTGGAGGATTAGAACCTTAAGTTTCTTAAATTCCCAAAAGAAAAGGTCTGAAATCTGCTGTAGGCTTCCATAGAACAATATGAATTTCAGAATATCAGAATATTGAAGTCAAAGTCCACGTCAAGTACGATGTTCTGTCTAAATATCTAACTATATCTAACACCATTTAGGTTCGCTACGCCTCATGAGTAAATAGGATTAACTAGAACCTGCGTTGAAAGAAGAACGTGTGAAATTTCGGAAATTTTTACACCAGAGGGTCTCACATTGTTGTGAACAGAACAAATGCACAGAACGAACGTAAGAGCTTGCAAATTAGCAAGGAATATTGTAAAGTATCAAAATTTTTAACGCAATTTATTCAATGCAATATATCAATTATCAATCACAACTAAAATACATTCAGCCATAGAAGCCTGTATATCGTATATGTATTCAAAATGGGCTATATATTGGTTATTATTCAAATACTTATCTATAGTTCACAAAATGAGTGCGCTATTAGGTTTATCAATGAACTTGCATGAAATTTATCACTTCTAAGGAATCAATTTTCAGGTGGATCGTCTAGTCTTCTGAGTCCCGCTACTGCTTGAGAAGGATCACACGTCGCCCAAAGCATGGAAGGTGAATTGGTTTCAATTCCAAACTTACCATCTTTGTCAATGGCAATTATAGAACCATAGCCTTTTGTTAAGCGTTGTTTCATCCTTTGCACAGCACTTGTAGCAGATTCCTAATAGCAGATGAAAAGGGTCCAAGCAAAAAATAATGATTGGAAGCATTCTTGCATTATATCTTTAACTTAGAAAAATTAATATAAAATATGAAATTATTACCTTTAACATTTGAAAAAGCTGGCAATTAAGCTAAGATGTTATAAGTTTTCAGTTTATATTATATGTTCATGTTTAATTGAAATGCAAATTGCTATAAATGATTGAATAACAAAACAGTAACTTTACCATAGCACTTTGTCCATTTTCCATACTGAATACAACATCTCTTGCTAATGTCATTTTCATTATTGCTTCTCCGCATCCACTTGAAGCTGCTCCACCGTACTCATTTGCATATCCTCCGCAGCCAACCAATGGAGCATCACCGATGCGACCAACCATTTTTTTAGGTATACCGCCTGAGGTATGTTAGCGTAATAAGTCATAAATAAAAACTAATGTCTCTATAATTTAACCTATATAAGACAATGTTAAACCTTATTTTAAGAAGTAACCACGTTGTGTATGAAATTTTGCTTTCTAATTTAGTCATCTGTAGATGTGGCACAAGCAAAATGACCGTGTTTATCCAAAGCAACAGCACATACGGTATCGAATGGCAAGGCCTCTTTATATGAACGAGGTAAAACTTCAGAAAAGTTCATAGCCATCACTTGTCTACTTGTTTCCACTACGAGTTCGTCAGGATCACAAAGCAGTTCATTGTAATTCATCTGTTGGACAAATCTCCGAGCTCCTTCTCCACTCAAGGCACAATGATGGGTTTCATCCATAATTTTTCTTGCTACTTTGACCGGATTTTTGAAATTGGTTCCAGCCATCACCGCCCCTAAAAAGTCACACTTGATTAGATACTTTTGTGCTCCTAAATATACTTTGTTTTTGTTTCAAACTTCGTGTTTTATTCACTGGATTATATCATAACAAGTTTACATTTCACAACAAAGAATTTTTTCATGTCTGCAGTAAAAAGTCGAGACATCAGATGATCGTTGATTTCATAAGTATCATGTAAATGATTTTAATCTTTTACGACTGTGGAAAGTGGCCATTAGGGGTGTCGCGTTTTTTAGGCGTGGAAAAGTTTAAATGCTTCCAAATTGTTATTATCTGAAGCTTTTCAAAATATGACTAATTGAGGATTTAGACTTTCAACATGCATGAACGTGCAGTGGAAAGCAGCCCTTAGCTTGGCTTGCACACGCTCGTGTTCCACACAAACATTGTAAATTCTTCTGCAAATTTTGTATATTATATAAATGAAAATTTTGAGATGTATAATGGTCATTTCCCAACATTCTCTTACCAGTGTCGTAAGGTTGCGTGTATGTGAAAGTGTATAGGACTGCATACAGTATATTGTAATAGAAATTATTGGTCTGTTTTTCAAAATTGAAGCAGTCAAGCTTTTGTTAATAACCATGTGATGTAACTTATAATATCTTCTCATGTTTTTTCGCCGTGTACTGCAATTGGGTTTAAAGATTATGTAATGAATTGCGTGACTTCGAGAACTTCATGTTAATACACTTTTTATTATTGAACAAAAATTCTTTCTAGAACGAAACTATTGAGGCGAAAATTGAAAAATATAAGATCTTGTGCACACTATATGTAAATGTATCAAGTATCAGTTACGTGTCAACGCGCCGGTAAACCATCTTGGTTCGCCGGTAAACCATCTTGGTTCACAATTTTGTATAAACGGCGGAATGGCAGCGATATTATTAAAATAGGAACAGAATCTACATGTATCTACATGTATTAAATATATTCTGATCTAAGTCTGAACTTAATCGAGCAGAAGCAAAAGAACTGTTTATTTGTTCGTCGTGAAGGAATTGCCGTATCATGCGAGCGAAATTGAATCGCGCATCGGAAAATTAGACAAAGCTGTGCACCACAACTCTTGGGAGACAAAATGTGACGTAGATAAATACGGTTACATACAGATTTCAAATATTAGTATATTTTGCGCCAAACACACTTGCGACGACGAAAAATAAAAAACGAAAAACAAAACAAAACCGAGGCGAATTTTCAACTCCGACACTGACGCCGGAGTAATAATACTTCGCTAATGTACATAATGAACAGTCTGTATCCTTTTTGTAATGAGACATCTTTCAGTTGCGGGATGTGGTTTTGGTTTAATTATTAATACACATACCAGTGCGCAATTTGTCACCATCCATAATCATGGCATCGCATTCTACTTTATGAGCAGTATTTAGTGCTGATCCACGACCAGCGTTAAAATGTATATCATCCTCTAAAATGCGAACGGCTTCTTCTACAGCATCAACAGCTGAACCTCCATTCTAAAAATAATCTTATTACAGTCGAATTTTGTCATACAGTTGGCAGTAAATAGAATTAATAATATGCAGATAACGGAGAATTAATAGCTTCCATATAATTTCATCTTAAAAGCATCCTTTTAAGCAGGAAATCTAGAAAAGTATAGTCTGATATAGCAACCCGAACTGCAAGCTCTCAAAAATTGAATTGCATTACAAGTTGCATGTCTGTAGGAATAATTTAAGCAACTAATCGTCCTTATGTCTTTCATTGCCAGAAATTTGCGAAATGGTGACCTGCATAAATTATATGCATTAATTTGCATTTAGCATTTTGCGTTCAACAATAATGGCCTTTAATTTTTACTATAAAACACATATTGCAGGAGTACAATACCTAAAATTGCCGTTGTCCTGGATGTTGGCCACTGTTTGCCGACCTCTGGATCAATAGAACAGCCGTTTTACAACGTTTTGATGATCGAAATCATCGAATTACTTACCTTGGGTGTTTCTACGTTCCGCCAACTGACTGATAATACTTTTTAAAGCGAACACAGAAAAAATCCGGACCGTACAGGAAAATTTATATCAGAAATACGAAAGACAACATCTACAACAAAATTTCTTAATTGGTATGTTACACGTCAATTCATCAACAATCCGAATCAAAATGTTCTTATGATTGTGAGCGATTTTATAAGTTCGTTGAGAGAACTCGGCCAAAATTTTGAGCAATATATTTTTAAATTTGGCAGACTGCAGAAATGCCCATTTCGATTCGGTTACCAAAACGTTTATAAACAGCTGTTCTATCCATGTACGTCGTCGAACAGACGTCGGCAAACAGTGCTCCAAGGCTATGGAACGTTCGATTTGTTCACCGGCTAATTTTTTTTTTAGTAGAACTCGAAGGCCATTATGTATGGATTAAATGTCATCAATTTTTGGTAATGGCTGGAATACTATTAGGCAATGCTCTTCTAAATAACATGCAGTCAATATCACTTTACAACTACTTACCAACATTTTGCGACATCCCTCCTTTGCAGCAATTTTCACTGCGTCCAACATTTCATTTTCATCCGTTTTGAAGAATACAAGATAGTACGCCCCACTTTGAACAATAATTTTCGGAATCTTCACTTTTTTCTTTAAAACGAAATCAAGCCATACATTATGTAATACAATTGCCACCAATATTTATTTATAGTTATATTGTATTTGTATAGAATCGTGGTAGCCTATATTATCATCTTCAGTACGACGATTTTGCAAAAACCTTATATTTAAACCTTATAAAATCTAAGAAACTCTAATAAATTTAAACCATGATAATCTTTTAACATTCTCTGAACATTCTGCGATGTCATTATAGACCAACTTTTTACTGCTTCTGAACCGGAGAAGAGCATGCGATAGGTATTGCATTTTGCCCTTTCTACAACTGTTAACAGAAAAGCGTAGAGCAAAAGCAGGGCAATTACTGCAACAAGAATACTGAACTGGACATCCTATGTAACCTTTGTGTAAATAGTTTTCAGGACAGGGAAGTCTAATGACCGTATCAATAATACATTCCCTGTTCAGTACGCGAGGTTGCATGCAATTAGGTTAGTTGGAAGAATAGTTGTTAGAACTTCAAACCTTCACAAACTTTTGATGATTTTAGTTTTTCTGCCATTTCTTCACTCTATGAGGAGAAATTACTGAATTCAGTACATACGCACGATGCATGTATAGTCAACACAAGCATACATGGCACAGTGCGGTGAAGTTGCTATAGATCTGCGAAGTCTACTGCAACACAATTTATTTCTTCGATCTACTGAAGAGAAACTAAACTATAGTAGGCCATAAAAATACTGGATGCATACTGGTTTCGTTGTATGTATAGTTAAAGAAGAAAATAATGTCGGCAATACAGTTTCTAACTTTGGACGATGAAACCTGATTGTTTAACTTGCCAAAATTATATCTGAACAGTTGCACCCTCATCAGAGGAATTTAATATTTTGTATGTTTTTATATAATTTGCATGGTTTGAATTAAAAAAAGGAAAATTGATCTTTTATACCATTTAACGCTTTCAAGGAATGTGGTAAACTTATCCATAATTAGAACATAAGGTAAATGATCAGTGATTATAAACAATAATGAATTACCACTGCATAGCTACAAAAGTTCCAGGGAATTGTCCGGTCAATCATAACTGCTGTTGCTATTAGGTATATATAATATATAAATTGCCGTACTTTTATTTATTTGGGTGTTATGATCGAATTAGGAAATAAAGGGAAAAAAAGTCGTTTGATTTCGGCCAGCAAATGGAATAGTCCTTTAATATATATGTCATTGCTGTTGATAATCTGAATCAAAGTCATTGTAATGTTTCATACGATGCTTTAGAATATATTTTGCAAAAGTTTAAACATTATAGTTTGATTTTCTTTTTTTTAATTTGTTAAACTTATGACAAAAATGTGACAAATGCTTACCTCGATCTCTTTCGAAGACTTTAATTCCTCAGTAATAGCTACTTTAGAATAGAGAAATGCGTGAATACCAACCAGTATATATACATTACCAGTTCTTCTCCCTGATGTGAGGAGTATCCTGTAAGCGTAGTTCCGTAAAATTGAACGATCACAATTTGAAAATAGATGCGCCCACGGCATGACATAAGTGAGAAATTAATTATGGGGTTCAAAAATAGACAAAATGCTTCGTTTTTTTTAAAGCCCTTTTTTAAACACGGCTCTCGTTAATGGGTTGGAAAAAAGAGGGATTAACGCAGGAATGTATCAGTAAATATGTGTCCGTGTATCAGTCATGCAAGAAAACCAATGGTTTAGCTACTTGTTCGATAATTATACATAGCTATAGCTATTATAGCAAAAATTAATATGGATTCTATATTCAACTACACTATGCTATAAGATGATGAAAATTTTCAATTTGAATCTCCAAGATCAAATTTGTTTCGGCAATGAGGTAATGTTTAAGTTGTGAGATTAATATACAGGATAGTAGCCTACATCTTTAATTCTTTATAAAAGATAAAGCTTAAATTTGCGATACGATTAAGTGCTAGCTATATTCAATTAGGAAACTGCGTCTTGACTCTATAACTGTATGATATTTGAATTAAAATCATATTTGAGTAAATTAAATAATGTTTACACATGGAGGTTGATCATGAACGCCAACTGCATGACAATGCAGTTAGAATGGAAGGACCCCCACCAGTGCTCTTATTTTATATAGATAGATATTTAGTTATGACTGTGGTATTGTGTTAACGATGAGGTGGTACCATATCATATCCGTGAGAAAATCAGTGGATAGTTATTATTTTGTTTTCCTGGAAGCAAAATAATACACTGCATGTGAATACCGTGGAAAATGAAAGCAAAATGCGACGCGTCCATCCAAATATAGCTGTGGTTCCTAAACTATTTTGAAAATTCAAATCCTCTTCGTTCTTTTATCTACCATGCATTTCACATAATTATCAATATTACTTTATTCATACCAAACATATTTGCACATTGCAAGCATGAACTGATTACTATCAGAGAATTGTAATTTTTCTACTAAAATGGTTAATAAAATTATAATACCCAGAAGAATGACAGGAAACATTTCCGCGCTCTATGTATTATTTAGTTATATCGTATCGTAACTATTAATATAAAACCCATTTTTAACTTTGTCTAATACACAACATAAGTTCATTGGACAAACAGAACTCATTAATAGCTAAGTATTGAAAGAATTTACTGGAAATATAGCTAGTACTTTACTTTTGCCAGAAACAAGAAAGAACGAAATTAGGAAGTTTTTGAACATTTGAAGCGCTCGTCGGCTAGCTCGTGTGATGTTTTCAAACAAAAAATACATAAATTATTATGTGCTGAAGGTTGGAAAATTATTTTCTTTGAACACGATACTCCCTGCGGTGAAACACCAATAAATGTGTTTTCACGCAATCAAACCGCATAACGATGACCCCTCATGACATGTTGTTGCAGTTTTTTATATTGCACCTATGATCGACTCTTAAAATATGCTTTACTAGTTCAATGATTGATAGCCTAAACCAAAAAATCATTACAAATAGCTATTTTCAGGTATAAATAAAGTATTGGGAAGACGTTTGAGATGTATATTATATTTATATACAGTTGGTCGAAAATATTACACATATACTGTACTGTACGGTAGAAATATCCACTCCACAATGCATTTAAAATTTTATACGATTTCGATACAAAATTTGTAAGAAATCAAAGTTGCACATGCACATGGCTAGGATTAGAGACCTCCTGCTATAGGGGCCCTATTAGGATGTTTTGATCAGAATTTTAAACTTTCCATATTCCAAATAATGTTAAAGATAATACAGATATATTTCGGCTACATACATATTGCTAGTAAACACATACGCGGTTTAACCTTTATTGGTTATTTCACTTCCTTCCATGAAGGCAATATATACTCAACTCTGCAAGCATAATTGAGAGAATTCCAACCTGCGCCACCCTAACATTTGCATAAATCACTTCACACTCAGTCTCCAACAAGCAACGTTGTCCGTAGTTTAGTGGTTCCAGCACTGGTTCGGACTGTCAGAGAGGTGTAGGTTTGATTTTTTGCAGGATCTAGGTTGTATTTTCCAAGACGTTTCTGGTGTATGTTTAATACTTTACTGCAACTAATCTTAAAGACTAAAACAAAATTATAGCCTACCATGGATGACAAGACAAAACTTAATTCAGTTTGTGACCACACACAGAAAGATGTATCTTAAAATTTGCAGAAATCAATGTAAAAGCCACTGTTCCCTGCATGTGACTTTATTTGGCCAAAAAGGAATATAAAAAACGTAAAAATGGACAAACAGAAAAATGTTAAGAACATATTATCACTTATCAAAAACGTTTTAATGCCAAATATTGGCCGGTTATTATGATTTTGGTTGCAACATAATCAGTGCTCTCCTTCCGGAAGGTCACCCGTTATGCCAAGGTCACACACGCAGCTTTTTGTTACAGATAATTAAATTATGGCATCACACATCGTATAAACAATTATGCAGTTACTATTTCATCTTACTGCTTTTGTTACGCGACACAAATGCAATATATTTGGCTGATTTGAATTTCAAAGATTGGCGTTTTGTGGGGCCAACATGTATCCAGATTTATTCCAATAAATAGTTTTTCCGTTGTTAGGCATACGTGTAGCGCTAAAGTGAAAATGAAATTGTTTCTGCTGCTCATCAAAAAAACGCACAAAACTCACCTTCGATGATTTATAGCAAATTTTTTTTACAATTCCCAATCTTTTGTTGCCGATGGGTTATCTCGGTCAAGCCAGGGTGTCCGATAAATGACGAAATGTGCTGAAAAATAGAGTAAGCTATCTGTTGCTGGTTAAGGAGGTACTCTTGGAGTGGAACTGAGGATTTTTTTTCATGAAAAGCAGAGAGCTACAAATTTGTTTGTGTTAAACTTTAAATCCCAGTTGCACGACCAATGATAGAGGAGATTTAAGTCGGACTGGAGGAGATCTCTATCACTTGGTTCAGTAATTTTATTCAATTTGATGGATAATACACTTACGGTCAAAAAGAACTGCTCAAACCAAGTTAAATTGCTCTCAAATGAACGCAGATGAATTGCTCTCAAAAAGAACTGTCCCTCTAACAATATATACGAGTAAATATAGACTAGATTACATGCTAAGCTATATGAAATATTAATATTTTGTTAACCCTCCTTTGGCCTTATAATTGATGAGGGTCTTACACCGGCGTGGCATACTTTCTGTTAAGGTGGTAATCTCCACTGTCAAAAGAATTTCATCCTAGGGACAGTCTTTACAGCAACGCATAAATCATGGACGCTTTATGAATGAATTCCTTTTTTGCACTTTCCCCTTGACATTGTCCCACAGATTTTCAATAGGGTTAAGGTCTTTTGACTGTGCAGGCCAATCCATTTCTGTCACCCCCTCTTCCTGAAACCATTGTTTGTCTATATCTTGGAAGGGTGGCAGGTTGCATTACATTATTGAAATATTGCTTGGAGTAAGAGAATTATCAAAATGCCTATAAAGCTCTCTTCTATATTCTCTTTTTTTTATGAATTTATATCTAAACAGTTTTTTTTGACCGCTAGTGTACAATAAAAGATTGATTGTTACGATTCCTGTTACATACGATAATAGCACCATTTGAGCAGTTCTTTTTGACCGCCAATGTATAACACGATACAAAATAATTAAATCCCAACCTGAAGCTGCAAAAATAGAAAGAATTTTAATTCCGAAGAAGAACTTCCTTTTTAAAGTTCACACTTCACAGCTG